AATTTTTTTATTTAAAATTATATTATATACATCTATTTATTTAATATTATATTATATTAATTTAATATTACATCATAATTATAAATTTTATAATTTTAAATAACATAATAACTATAACAATCCCCTGAAACTTATCAAATGTTTTAAAATAAAATTCTAATAAAACTTATTATTTTTTAAAAAATAATTTTAAACTTTTTTTTGACAGTATTTTTCTCAATCATTTATTCTAAAAACATTTCCAGTGAAGTTTAACTCTTAACCAAACCGGGTTATCATGCCGCTTCTCATCAGCAAGGACTACCGGAGGTCTTCAACTCGTGTACGGCTCAGATGATTTTTGAACAAATCATATATTCAGCATCCACCCTAGAAAACAAAATTGACGGCGGTTAAGATGAAACAAGAACCAGAGAGCACGATAGAGGAAGAGGAACATGAGGTGTATGGAGCAGAAATCCCCGACGTCGGAGAGATGGAAGGCGACGTCGACATGTCCGCCGCCGACGAGGACGCCGTCAAGGTTCCTCCCAGAGAAGAACCTCTATCCCTCTATTAGCGTGCTTCTTTTCGCCTTTAATTTATGTGTGTTCTTGTTTGGGATTTGTTATGCAGGAGCTTGACGAGATGAAGAAGCGTTTGAAGGAGATGGAAGAGGAAGCTGCTGCTCTTCGCGAGATGCAGGCTAAGGTCGAGAAGGAGATGGGCGCCGTTCAAGGTTTCTTTCTTCTGTTCTTGTCTTTTGTTTTCCCTTTTCTATTGTGTTAGGGTTCTTTCTGGATTCGATTCTGTTGATTTTATGCTTATTTTGGGTTTGAATTTTTGTTGTTTTCCTTTCGATGTTTTGGCTGTTTAACTTATTCTATGATGACTACATGCCTGATTGTAATCTTGCTTGCAGATCCTTCTGGTGCAGCTGCTAATCAAGCAGGCAAAGAGGAGGCAGATTCACGATCAGTTTTTGTTGGCAATGTGAGAAACATAATGCTCTTTTCTAAACTAATTTTCGTTATAGAGAAAGTATCAGCCAATGGTTTTTTAGAGTACTACATGTTTTCTGTGGTAGTAGCCTAGTAGGTGTCATTTTCTTAAGTTTTCTGTAACCAATGCTAAGGAGCAGCTCGTTTTGATGAGTTTCTTAATGGCATTGTTTAGTTGGATAGACATTGGATTTGATTTCAAGTTTTTCAAAATACATGATTATTGTTACAGCAGTCTTTCAGTGTATGACATTTATAGTTATAAGTTGTAACCCTGTACTTAATAGGATGAAACTTTTAGTGGGAACATAATCTTCCCATATGTGGTTATTCTGCTGAGATGATGGGGTATATTGTTCTTTGGATGGGTTTTATCTGTAGAATCCATTAGCTTCTTAAATGTCACTTCATGGATTTGTAAGCTTCTATTGGGTGGAATAAGAATTTCAACAGCTTGTGAGGATTTGGCATTTTGATCTTTTGTCATCCCTGTCCTTTTAAGTAGCTTAAGATCCACATAACATGATACAAAAGAGAATCTTGAGGACATGGATTGATAGACACTTGCTAGACTTTTGCCTGTGCTAGGTGAAGTATTTTTTTGAATTGCCAAAATTATTAACAAGCTTAGTTATGTTGGTTTAAATACTTCTGTTTCTTCCTGAATTAAACTTTTAACATTACCTAGATCTTTTTTATTCAAGACCTCTTTCCTTTCCTATAATTCACTTTGTTGTGTAGGCCCCAAATTTATTTCTATCCTTGCATTTTTTCCACATTGCTTTATGTGCAACATGTTTGGTTTCTTTTTCCTCTTTAGGGCTTGACTAATACTTAAATTTTGTAGACTAATTTCTCTCTGGATTTGGATTGGCTGTGGGTGATTCTGAGCTTTAGAATTATGGTTTGACTATGTGTCTAACTATGATCAGAGGGTTGTAAAAACTCATCAAGTTCCTGTATGTTTTTGCCAGAATAGTTACAGTCTTTCTTTATGAGAGCGTTCAAAAGCTACTATGGGTAATAGACCTGTGCTAAGAGAATGGAAAAGGGTGTCTCTGAGATTATTTTACAAGAAAGAAAGAAATTTATAGAATGAAAAAGAAAATGTGAAAATTTCTAGTGGAAAAAGGAAAGAAAGAAAATAAGAAAAGTAAAAATGCGAAAAGGAAAAAAGAAAGGAAAGAGAACAAATGGGAATATGGGGAAAATGTAAGTGTGTTTTGTTCAACTTGTGAAGGATTTCATCTGTGTTTATTTCGAAGAGCAAAGGCATGCTGGCATATGCAATCTAAGTTGCAAGAGCATCATTGTGGCTGGTGATGGTGGTCACTGGAGTCTCAGAAATTTATTGTCTTTTGGCTGATGTGGTGAGAGGCGTATTTGTTGCTTCTTTGTAGCCTTAATTAATGTTTTGCTTGCAAGTTTACCCATATAAATGTGCTGTTAATGCTTTATGATATTATATGCTCTTTTGAAGTCACTGATATCATAGCTTAATGTTTCTTGATAAATTCTTTGCTTAATTGTAGGAACTTTAACATAAATACCCATTTTCTTTGTCTCCAAAATAGATAACTTTGTTTGGTGGCATCCTAGGCTCTCTAAAATGTCCCCAGTGGTGGACTGGGGAAAAATGGAGAAAAAAGAAGAAGAAAAGGAAGAAAGAAAGCTTTCTTCTCACAGACCTGCTTAGTTTTTATTCAATATGCTTAGAAACGTGTGTTTTTCATTAGCCTTTTGGGTTCTGTTCCTCAATCCTGTTTTCCTTTGCTTTTAATTTCTTATTAAACAGAACTTTTTTACCTCTTTACAAGGTGTCAGATGAAATAAACATGATAACCTAATATATTTAGCTATTTATAGTTTATCTGAAGACATTGGAATTTTTGGACAAGTTTCCATTTTTGTCTCTGACTGTAATATTTCTATGTGAAAAACTTGCTTTGAATCTCATCCTGCAGGTTGATTATGCCTGCACACCTGAAGAAGTACAGCAACATTTCCAATCATGTGGTACTGTGAACAGGGTGACTATTCTGACTGACAAATTTGGCCAGCCAAAGGGTTTTGCGTATGTGGAATTCCTTGAAGTAGAAGCTGTTCAAGAGGCTCTCCAGCTGAATGAATCTGAATTACATGGCCGTCAGTTGAAGGTAACCCCACTCTCTCATCTTGGAATTTTGAGAACCTTGTTCCATTAGATATTTGGAATTAAAAACAAAGCCTAACAAGTGTGCATCATTATTATTAAGGCTTTCTCATTGCCTCTGTCTTGTACTTGTACTAAACTGATGGTGGTTGTGTACTCCATATGAAATTCAGGTCTTGCCTAAGAGAACTAACGTTCCAGGGATGAAGCAATTCCGTCCAAGGCGTTTCAATCCTTACATGGGATATGGCTTCAGGAGGCCTTACGTGCCCCCTTATTTCTACTCTCCTTATGGATATGGGTATGTCTTCTAGTTTTAGTGTATGACATGCTCTAACTATTTAAATTTTGAGTGGTGCTCTATCTCACCCTTTCTATTTTGCAAATTTACTTCAGGAAGGTTCCCAGGTTCAGGAGGCCAATGCGATATATGCCCTACTATTAGAATATTGTGCATTGAAGCCTGGTTTAATTCTCAATATCATGGATGGTTACTTCCTAGAATTCAGTTTATATTTTATGATAGATCTGTTCCAAGGATTGACTGACATTTGTATTTGCTTCATGACGTTTTGTTTTCAATTTGCTCAATTTAACTAAAGCAGAGCCAACTTTGATGCGTTTGTTTGTAAATTCGTAGGTTTTTTTTTTTTTTTTATCCTTTTCCCGTTAGGGTCTCTCTGCTTGTCTTCTACATCAAATTGAACAATTTGATTTCACCTGCTTGCCTTTATTTTAATTCCACAGCCTAAGTTCATGGATTAGCTGTAAATTGGTTTGTTTGGTTTGCAGGTATTGTTTGTTTGGTTTGTTGAAAATAATTTCTAAGAAGTTCTGAACACTGTTTTGGTATTTGATAGACATTGTTAAAGATTATGAGCAACCATGCAAGTATTTGATAATTATTTTTTAAAAATTCTATGCACATAATTATTAAAATATAAAAAATATTAATTATAGAAAACCAACCTCCCCCCATCCCAACAAATCTAGCTCTATGTATATAGTTCGAGAACATTTTTAGATGCTTTATATTTTAGTTTTTATGTTTTTTTATTTTTTTTGAAAAAAATTAATTAAAATAAATATTAAATATATTCTATATATTTTTAAAATATTAAAATACTAAAAATTTTACTGCAGTTATAATTTAGGACTCCCAAATCAAGTCAGATTGGTTAGATATGTGAAAACAAATTATTAGTTAGGGTGAAAATTATCTTTCGTACTCTTAGTTGGGCACAACCAAAGTCAGTGCATTCACAAATTATATGTACTTTTTTCATTTGGCCTTCACAAATTATATGTACCTAATTTCATTTTTCTACCAAAGATTCAATGGTTACGACGAGCTCCTCCATGATGGCTGCTACCCAACGACTGAACTGACTGGTTGCCATGTTCAATGGAATAGAAATAGAATGAAAAAGAACCAAAAATCAGAATCCAAGTGTTGATAATTAGATAGCCATGAGCCATGTGACTTCGGAAAACCTGATAACCTAATCTTCAACCCATACCAACATCCGTAGTAAACGCGTTGCTATCTGCTTTATTTACAGACATTTCCCATGTGCACCACTCTCTCTCATCTCATGGTTTTGCTTCACTAATAGTTTTGTCTTTTGGCTGTGGTCCTCCTCCATCATTAACTTCCCCTCTGAATTATCACTCAGATCATCCCCACGTTGTGGCAAGGTCATTGAAAGCAACTCTACATGTATAATGTAGGGTGATTCATGCTTTACTGATATAATGCGCTTGTTGCTGCAATGAATATGGAATCCAGAGATTCTTGTTTTGTTTCAATAAAATGGGAAAAAGGTATTCACCATTCAACTGTAATTTTCAAATCAAGGGTAGTAGAGCCAGCGGCAAAGTGTACCAGATTCCCCTTGGATGGTAATGCCGGGTTGGGGTTTGACCCCAACCCGGCCTTTCCCCCTCCCCACCCTATAAACCAAGAAGGAAAATAGAACTCTCATTTTCGAATGCACATAATGAAAATGGCATATGATTTATTTCTGCAACAGCTAACAACTTCCATGTTCATACCTAAATAGATATTCCATATTCAGGCTGAAACACTTAAAAATACAACAATACTCTCTCTGCACGGAGCTTTGGCTGCAGGTAAGTGATGGGGCTGGGGGTTAACAAAAAGGGTATTGTGAATGATTCACGCACAGCAACGTTGCCTGACAGAGATGATTTTTGGATTCCTTGATCTTCTTAAAGTCCCAATGACAAGAGGCGTTGGGTTCCAAGCCTTTTCTTTCTGAGTCGTTCAGCAACTATGAAAGCCAGCTCAAGTGATTGAGAAGCGTTAAGTCTTGGGTCACAGTGTGTGTGGTAACGAGAGCTTAGGTCATCGAAAGTCACTGTCCTGGACCCTCCAATGCACTCTGTGACATTTTGGCCAGTCATTTCTAGGTGGATACCTCCAGGGTGGCTTCCTTCTTGCTCATGGACGTCAAAGAATGCTCGGACCTCAGCCTAACAATAATTGAGATGACATAAGCTTGATTCGGGCCAGGGAAAGCATTTTTTATGTTGAGCAATGAAATAAATGTGGGGAGAATAATTACCAGAATTGCATCGAAGGGACGTGTTTTGAGTCCACAAGGTGCCTTGATGGTGTTTCCATGCATCGGATCACAGACCCAGGTCACAATTTGGCCTGCCCTGCGGACTGCCCTGATCAAATGTGGAAGCTTGACTCTCATGTTCTCAGCACCCATTCTGCAAATAATTGTTATCCTTCCTGGCTTGTTAGTTGGATTCAGGATTTCAATGAGCCTAACTAACTCATTTGGATCCATCTTGTTGCTAACCTGCATTACAAGTTTCACCTCAGATATCTAAATTTGACAAGGTGGATTCTAGCTACCAAATTCTAAGGCTCAATACAATCTCTTAAGCAAATTAATCAAATCAAACATGTTTGAGACAAAAGGTTCACTGAGGATATACCTTGATGCCCAAGGGGTTTGCAATTCCTCTCAAAAACTCTACATGGGCACCATCAAGTTGGCGGGTGCGCTCCCCACACCAAAGCATGTGAGCCGAGCAATCATAGTACAGGTTAGAAGTCGAATCAAGCCTGGTAAGTGCCTGCTCATAAGGCAAAAGCAAGCACTCATGAGATGTCCAGAACTCAGTGGTTGTCATGACAGGATGTTCAACAGTGAGTCCTGCAGCAGCCATGAATCCCAAGGCCTCATCCACCCGGTGAGCCAGTTCCTGGTATCTGTTATCAAAATTCAAACATCAAACTTTAATGCAGAAACTCCAACATACAATAACAAACAAGACCAATGCTCTGTTACAATTGAAAACCATACATTCTATGTTGTCTAACTTCAAACTTGTTAAGTAAGTTCAGCCTGGCTTACCGATCTCCTTGCTCGCTATGCTCAGCAAAATCAAGATTCCATTGGGTAACCCTCTGCATTGCAGCATATCCTCCTGTGGCAAAGGCTCTAAGGAGGTTCAGAGTTGCAGAAGATTGGCAGTAAGCCCTTATCATCCTCTCCGGATCAGGAATTCTCGACTTCTTATCAAAAGCATCACCATTTATATTGTCACCCTTGTAACTTGGCAGTTTCACTCCATCTTTCTCCTCGAACGGGTCTGATCTAGGCTTTGCAAATTGACCCGCCATTCTTCCCACCTGAAGAATTACAAGAATCATTGCAAAATTCTTCTCAATAATTTCAATTATAAACCTCAATTAACAGAAGTTTGGAATTTGATCTAACCTTAATCACAGGCATTTGTCCACCGAACATCAGCACAACACCCATCTGGAGCAGAATCCTGAAGGTATCCCTGATGTTGTTGGCGCTGAACTCCTTGAAACTCTCAGCGCAATCACCACCCTGAAGCAA